GTTAGTACTAATTAACTTTGTTCCGGCTTTCGTAAATAACGCTCATGAGATTTGGCGGACATAATCTTTGCCAAATTATAGTTTAAAAATTATAGAATACGGACACATAGAATTTATGCTTGTTGGTTTTAAAAATTCTTATGTTTGGGTTTATGTCTTTTTTTCTCTATGATAGATATACGTATAACATTGTTTTAGATATTCAAACGTTTTAAAATGTTATTGTTTACAATGTGTTTACAATGTGTTTACAATGTGTTTACAATGTTTAGTTATGTGTTTATATTGTTTAGTTAGCCTGGAATAAATTGCTACATTTGGCCGCCAAATCGGAAATTTCGTCCTCTTTAAGATCTTTTTACCAATTTTAGATATCTCAAATAGTTTTAGAGTTAAATAGTTTTAATCTGCAAAAAACCGAACCCATTTTTTTTGTTTTTACTAAATTGACAATTACTTTTACAATTTTTGCGAGCCCCCTTCCACTTTGACGTTTTTTCTAGATGCCCTTACGAATCGAATAAGATCAAAACCATAATTATCCGTGAAGTTAAAAAGGTTTTTGTCAAAAAGCCACTTGTTGACTCGAGACGAGTCCTGCATCTTAACTTACTATACATATAGCTCTCTCGATATTTCATTTGTTTCAAAATTGGCCACAAGACAGAGACATTCGTAACTTCTTTATCGTTGATATAAAATCAAACTGGCACAGTCAATGTCGTTAGTAGGGTTCATGTGGGCTGAACGATGGATGTTTATTGCCGGGGCACGGTTTTACGACGTGAATGAAGACCCCATCATTCCGTGTAATCATTACCTCGGTCAGTTGTAGTCTCAAGCAAACCCTTACTGTTTAACTAACTAACCAATCCAATATGGTAAATTGTTTATAAATTTATAAATAAGGCCGAGTTCATTGTAACGGTATGTTAGAAAACATTATCGAAGAAGTAAATGATTGCAATGGATGTGGATGAATTAAGCCTCTATTACCAACTAAACTTGTTATAAACTTTTCATTTTTTTTGCAGTGCTATACAAAATAATATACATCAACTGATCAGCGGTCGTTTCAGTAATTAAAAAAAACTTTAGTTACTATTTCTTATTTTTTCAATTTTATACGATCGAACCTCTCGTGACTTCTCAAGATGTCTGGGAGACAAGATGGACGGATCAAAGAAATAATCTTAATGAATTTTATATTAAATATAAAATTTAGTGTGTGTCCCTGCACTTAAGATAATATAGAAAATGTGATTTTTTTGTAGGTAAATGGTCATGGTAGTAAATTGGTTTCAAGCCATTCAAAATCTCTGGTAATCGAAATTATTAGTCAGCTGCATGCTTCGATCATAAGGTATTTTCAAAATACAGGCATACAAGAGGCTCGTGAGTAACTGATCAACGATGGCTTGGATATTTAAAACACCTGAGGAGAAATCAATGGTTGCCAGTCTTTAAGATAGGGGTAGGCTCTTTCCTGGGCACATCTCCAGAAAGGAAGATTCCACTGAGAGACTTGTCGTTCAAGGCCGTGTAGAACACCTCGAGGTTGAGCCCCCACGCGCTGGATTGACCTTCTCACCAGTACTACTAAAGCCACCGCAGTGCAATGTGCTCAAAATGCTAACAGCCGCCTCCAATGGAAGAACATTGCTAGACGCGCGGCTTCCTTGAAAGCGAGCAGCAATGACGAGACGCAACCCTGTCCATCGACACCCACGACCATTTTGCCAAGACTGTCCGACTAAGAGAAGAAAAATAAGAGAAGAAGACTAAAAGAAGAAGACTAACAGAAGAAGACTAAGAGAAGAAGGCTCTTTGGAGGTACCTTATTCGTATCGTTCAGGGAATAACACTGGCAAAGACTGATTCCAGTAGTCGTACATAATTTATAACTTGGCACAACGAAGTTGTTTACTATATCAGTATGAGCCAAGCTAAGTATTTCGATCGATTGATTAGAGAGTTTTACGGTCGCTTGCATTTAATTCAATATACTCTAGAGTTCGATCGCCGGTGCCGGCACCAATGAAATTTAAAATTTCAAGTGCTGACTTATTTGTGCTCAGCGGTGAAGGAAAACATCGTAAGGAAACCTGCATATTTTCGAAGTATTAACAAAAACAGATTATTTCGAAGATATGTGAAGTCCGCCAGTGCAGTGGGGCCGCCCGCTATGCCCTGATACCATCTATACAGAGGAGGCATTTGCCCAGCAGTGGGACATGTACAGGCTGTTACTTTACTTTTTTACTTTTACGCTGGTAGGGCCACGCAACAGTCATCGCTACTGCACGGGTGGACAGGTCAATCCGGGTAAGTACCACGACCTCATAGAAGACCGACGTCAAGTGGACGGAGGTGTTATACTTCTGCGTTTCGTCTGGTGAGTGATGTAGCTGGGGCCCACATTGTTAAAAGGTGGCAACGCATCTGCAACACTACGGGTGTTGAAAATGTAAATGGGCGGCGGTGATCACTTAACATCAGGTGAACTACTAGCTCGTTTGCTTGTTTCCCACATAAAAAATATATTGAAAAAAACAATTAAATCATAATTCACGTAGGAAACGTAGCTTATTGTTAATTTACTAAGATTTCATTGCATTCATTCGAAATATATTAATTTTAAGGACATTATTACATAATTATTCAGTACCAACATTTTAAAACTAGAACGTTCTATATACAAGTCACTGTGGGTCATATAAAAGCGAATTAAGCATGACAAGGTTGAACGAACAGCAGTTGGTGAATTGAAACTTTTTCGTTTCAGGACGACCTCGTCGCTAATTATACGGGCTGTGGGCGTTGAGAAAGGATCACACGGTATAATTTATTATACAGCTCGTTCTAGGCCTTTGACTGTATTAGAAAGCGCAAATAAACTACTTTCTATTCTGTTTTTTTTTTTTTTACCTTAGCATCGATTCTGAATCATCAATTATTACTTTATATAAGGTCGATATTAGCTCGTTCCATAGAATGTATTGTTTACTATGTGTTTTGATTTCGACGTTTTTTCGATTCTTTGATTTTTATATCACTTACCTGGAAAAAAAATAACACAGGAATGTCATGGGTACTTACATCGCTCGCTTACTTATCAAATGGAGTTTGACTTATAAGTCTTGAGACTTATTACTAAAACTCCAAAGAAACCTATTTATTACTAGTTAAATGCTAATTAAAGTTTCTGAATAGCGCGTGACAAAGCATGTAAATATGGGGAACTGTACGCAGTTCGTGCAAGGTACGCCTTGTAATAGGAAAGTCGTCGTTTCACTTATTTCGATTTTATACTGTGGTATCCCTACGGCTCCTGGTGTATGAATGCAGCTATCAGATGGACTAGGTACTCATTAGGGATCTAAAGATCGATAAAAAGTTAAAGTCATAGTTACTGGTGACAGTCTCTCGTTTCGAAAGCCAGCAACGCCTCAAGAGTTGCGAATGTCCATAGAGGTCTTGACTAAACGTTGAACTAAAACTCTTTAAAAGTAAATTCATTTATGGCTCTCCAATTACTTAGCACCATCAAACCTTTACGATCTGATGGACTTAACTACTGTTGTAGGGCCACGGAACAGTCTTCACTACTGCACGAATGGGCAGGTCCGCCCGGGAATTACTGCGTAAGTGTTGTTCATATACAACCCTACGGGTGTTGCATAAGACGTTAAGATTTTCGTCGGTGTGGAAATCAGCCGTTTAGCTACGTGGCTAAAGCGTCAGGCCGCGAATGCCGATAACGTGGGTTCGATTCCCACAGCGGTGACAATTTTTTCGTACTTTTTCTTCAAATTTTAATGTGATTCAATATTAAGATACCATTTCGTTGGATTAGATTGTGGGTTTTTTCAACCTATTTACTTAGGTTACCTACGTTCCTTTTAAAATTTTCACCGAATAAGACATTATTGAGAGGCTCTCAGGGAGCTTGTCAGGTTTCATATCGGCAGGACAAAAGAATTTTCGAGAGTGCTCTGGAGTCTGAGAGCGTAGTAAATTGCTTCATACCATATCATATTTTTCGATATATGACTTATTTTTGCCACCAAGCATATGCCACAATGCGAACTGTTTCGTCTTTGTTAGAAGTTAGCATATTGGCTTTAAAGTTATTATATATTTACAGGATATTTTTTTAGTAATGAAACACCGTTAAATACAGGCAATTATTTAATATGTTTAATATAAACCCTTAATATACCGACATAATTAAATGCGGCGTCACTGTTAATGATAAATGGTATTAATTCAAAAGCAAAGGTTACTTACAAATTACAGAGTAATCAGATTATTATTTATATGCGATATAAATTAAAAAAACCAGATCGTCAATCCGTACAAGATATTATTAAAACATTTGAATTATTACGAGTTTTCATTAATTACATGTAACAAGCGACTCCCTTGCATCGATCTCTAAATCTTAAACAATAAATACAATTAAAAAAAAAAAAAAAACAATATATTTAACCGTCTAACAAACATCGCGATGATTTCGAAATGGAATGTCGAAATGTTAGCAAGTTGCTAATAAATAGAAGAGTATTTAAAGAAGTACGAACAATACGTTTCGAAATTGTAACTCGAATAAGACTGGAATAATGGTCGTCCACGTGGCTTTTCGAAATATTTAAAATGTCCGTTCTACTCTTAACTAACGTTTTCGGTCCACCGAGACGATTTAAGTAAGTTGGAATCGAGAAATGGTAACGCGATAAAAATTGACTCGATACACGGTAATAAAGAATTGACAGACGTATCTAAAACATTTGGATTATCTTAAATAACGAATGTCATGTACGTACATCATTAAAATTTATGCTTGAATATGATTATCATAAGTTTTAAAATTGTACCTATCAGTGATGCGAACATAATTGGACTTTATATCAGTAACAATAAGGTGTGTAGTAAAATGGTTGGCCGTACATATGAAACGATCTTTTCAGATCTACGTGTGATGAACACTAGATCCTTTAGTTCGGGACGTCCTTGCGAACCTTGTGCCCACGGAACGAGGCTTGAATTTTGGTTGCCGCTTTGTTCAATTCCGGATCTGTTAGATCGATTTTCTCGATGTCCTCCTGCGAAATTAGAAAATTGTTAGATAAAGCCGCAATAAATAATGATGATATAAAAATATTACAAAACAAAAAGTGTTCATGCAATCCGCGTAAATAAAATCATTGACTTAGTGTTTTTTATCTGAAAAATTGTGTTCAATATTTAAAAGGGCCGTGAATTTCCGCATTTTCCGGGCGCTCGCTTTTAATTCAATATACTCGATACGAGTTCAAACCCAGCACTAATGAAATTTGTTATTTGCAATTTCAAGTGCTGACTTATCATGTACTCAGCTCACTCACGTCATGAGGAAACCGCGCATATTTCCAAAATAATAAAAAAGTAAAGTAAAGTATTAGCCTATACATGTCCCACTACTGGTCCACTGCATAGCCCACTGCGGTTTGGCGGACTTCACATATCTTCTAAATATTTCTTTTATTATTATTTCGAAAGAATGTAGGTTTCCTCACGATGTTTTCTTTCACCGCCGTTGAGCACGTGATAATTCAGCACTTGAAATTAACAATTTCATTGGTGCCGGCATCGAGGCTCAAACTCAGGTTGCTCGAGTGTATTGAATTAAAGGCGAGCGCCCTGACACTGAGCTATCACGGCTCGAAATAATAATAATAGAAAATAAAAAAATTAAAAACTAAATAATAATAGGAGTCACGCCATAATACCCTTTATGAACAGGCTGTTACCCAGCAGCTATGTGTATGTTTGTCATATTGAAATAACTCTTTGTTCTAATAATAACTGGTCATTAAAAAATTAATAAGTAATTCTCTCGAAACACTGCAAATTCCCTACGATAAGCGGAAAGTGTACTTTCTCTACTCTAAATTTAGTCTATCGCACCTTGTCCTGTTGCTCCTTGTCTTTCTCACCCTGAGTCTGCTTACGCGCCTGATGGCCTCTGAATGAGGCCTGAATCTTAGTGGCAGCGTTACACAGCTCTGTAAATTAAATAAAATCATTATATCGTTTTATCATATCACAATATACATGACAACCCAATTGGCCTGTCTATGAACCTGTCTATTGGGCTAGGATTAGGGTTTGATATCCCACTACTGAAAAAATATTGTGTGTATAACATAGTGTTTTTCTAGTGTCTGGGCAATAAAAAAGTAATACCTTTAAATAATAAAGATATGTTTTATTATAGTAAGTAGCCATAGTACAAGCTTTGCTTATTTTGAGACTAGATCATTTTTATTTAGTACTATTATTATATTTATTATATCTTGTTATAAGCATATTACTGAACATAAGTATATAGTAAATAGGACCACTTATTGCACTGAGATCTAAATACGTAAATTTTTTCACAGTTTTTATTCAAAGTTGGTCTTTGCGATAATATTGCTACAGTTATTACTAGGAAATTTACTACAATTAATAATTATATTATATTCAGCTTAATAGTGATTATGACAAATTTAATATAAGCTTAGGTCAAAAATTTACGTTATTAATACCATATAAAATTTGACAAGTTAATCTTAAACATATCAATTGTGTAAAAATTAATTTATTTAATATATTTGGTTTCATGTTTTATGTTAACGATTAAAAGAATATATAAATTTATTTTCATCGTTAACATAACTGTGTTTGTTGATACTAAATAAATATTCATTCATTCATTCATATTCTTAATATTCAATCATTTTTAATTTCGTGCGCCATTAATGCCCTTTACTTACATAGAGGCTGTCATATTATATCTTATACGACCCGTTCTGCCTGACCACTAATTACTGCTTAAGCTCACGTTAAGACCTTAAGTCTCATCTACGTAGTTCACCTCACAGAAAACCCTCTTTACGTATTAACGTTACATATTTAAATGTAAATTCTGCATAAGAACTGTAATATCAACATTTAAAAATTTGATATGAATATAAATTATTATATAAATATAAATTATTCATAGATGCTATTCATAATGTTTTATACATTTATGTATAAAATAACAAGAAAGCAGAAAGAAAGTAGAAAATAACAAGAAATAGCGAAGATTTCGTAGGCAATTACAGACCAATATCAATTTTATCCTGCTTTTCAAAAATTTTCGAATCTCTCATTTGTCCCTATCTGCAGGATCACTTGAAATTTTTCTTAAGTGATTTCCAAGTGATTACAAGGGTTCGTTAAATCACGTTCTACGAGTACAAATCTAGTACATTTTACCGAGACTTTAGCTGAAACCATTGACTCTGGATGTCAAGCTGATGTTATTTACACGGACTTTAGCAAAGCGTTTGATAAGGTTTCTCACAATATTCTTATTAGTAAATTGCGTACCTATGGCATCTTAGGTTCTTTATTAAAATGGGTTGAGTCATATCTATCATACAGGTAATTTTTTGTCGTTGCAAATGGATTCAAATCCAAATCTCGAGCCATTGCCTCAGGTGTGCCTCAGGGCTCACATCTTGGACCCATACTTTTCAACTTTTTCATAAATGATATCCCGAACTGCTTTCATCATTCGAAAGTCTATATGTTTGCCGATGACTTAAAATTTATTAAAGTAATCAAATCACGGAACGATGCAGTACTCCTACAAAATGACTTAAATAGGCTTGTTGATTGGTGCACCAACAATAAAATGCACCTCAATACAGAAAAGTGTCTACATATCAAGTTTTCTCGCAACCGCAAACTTATAAATAGTATATACCGCATAAACAATACAGCAATCCAAGAAGTAGACACTGTACGTGATCTTGGAGTAATTTATGATAGTAAATTAACGTTTAATGCACATTTAGAAAATATAACAAAAAAGCATCAAAAATGTTAGGATTTATCGTAAGAAATTGTCATTCCTTTCGCAATTCCAAAACTAAATTATCTGAGGGCAAATCAAGAAAACTACGATCTTATGAAGAAAGACTTAATTATTTCAAGGTAAACCCTTTATCTCATAGAAGAGAAGTGCTTGATGCTAAGTTTGTGAGTAAACTTTTAAATAACAAAATTGATAGCCCACAACTATTGAATTTGCTTAAATTTCGAGTACCTATAAGAATCCCTCGCAAACCTATTACACCACTTTGTCCACCACTAAGAAGAACAGTGCTTGGAAGTAATTCCCCTTATATTAAATTCTGCAAAATAATTAATCTTTTTAGCGATCAAATAGATTTTCATGTTGACTCAATAGCCAAAGTTTCTAAAATAATGTATACCTCACTCTTTAAAATTTGAATACATATATATTTACCTTATGTAATAAACATACCGAGCATGCCATAATTTAATTTAACTTATTTTACAGCTGTTTATTTTAAGCCACATTTTTATTTATTTTTTTTACTATTTCATTATTTATAGTTTTAATTTTATTTCTATTGTTATGATGTTCAACTGTACTTGCTGTGCTTATCTTTAAGTTATTGTTACACTTATACAAGTACTTATTGTTTCTTTTCTTTTTTATTATTCAGATATAGTGTAAGCAGTTGTTGATAGGCCTTTTAAAAATAAATAAATAAATAAATAAATAAGCTATTTTAGCCCACTTTATTGAAAGGTGGCAACGCATTTGCAACTCTACAGGTGTTGTGAATGACCATGGGCGGCTATCGCTTAACATCAGGTGATACTATTATCTTGCTATCTTCTTACATAAAAATAAATAAAGACTAACCTTTATCATCAGCCCTGAACTCGGCTTCCAATTCGGCTTTGGTGGGTTCCGGCTCTGGGTTTTTCGTGGCCGCCTTCATACTCATCGATTTCCTCGTCTTGTGCCCTCGAAACGCCGCCTGTATCTTTGTCGCCGCCTGCTCTTCTGATGTCTTGCTCTGTTCCTCCTTCTGCTTTTCTTCTAGAACAAAATGGACACACACATAAGCACTTTCTCTAGATAAATGTCACAAGTATACGTTTGTTTGTAGTTTTCTCGGAAAAAGAGGTATGAGTATACTTTATACAAGATAAGGACGTAAATGCCAACGTAAAACAGAACCACTCAATAGAAGCTGCCATATCACTTAACGGGGTAAAGATAGGGCAATCCAGAATTACTCTACCGCTCTTTTAAATGTTTACTTCCCTAAGGCGCAGCATATTTATCGGTATCATTTTTTTTCATTATACTCCAAAACCTCAATTGGTTTTAGAATAATAGTGCTGATAAAATCATAACGCCATTAGCATTTAGATATACCATAAAATAACGATAAGAAAAAATAAGAGGCAAAAATATTTCTTCTTCGGTTAGATTCGTATTTTTTAATAAGGCGAACATTTATAAATTTGTTAGTGGAACTCATTATTTTTAATGACTCAATACCAAAGCAATAAAAAATATGTTGTGAACTTTAATAAAAATCACTTATATCTAAATTTTTACGCTTATTCTACTGTAAGGTAATATAATCGTGTTATAGAGGCGTTTTTAATGCCAAATTGAAACAGGAACAAACACCTATATCGGAACAATTATCTGAGGAACATACAAATACGTGTCATCCGTAGAAATCGAACCAACGACTCTAACTACTGAAACTGTGCCATTAAGTCATCAATCTTATCCTTTAAACGAGCAATTCTTGTATATATGTATATATATATATATATATATAATCGGAATCTCGAAAACGGCTCCTGCTATTTTCATGAAATTTAGTATGTGCGTAGATTCGGGGGTGAAAAATCAATCTAGCTAGGTTTCATTTTTAGAAAATGTCCTTTTATCCCTGTTTTCAGGGAATGAAAAATATCATTTGAATATGACGGTAAATTTCGCCGCAAAAGAAAATGTTATAATAGCTCGGTCGGTAATCGGGCGGCCCCAAAACAGACGGCCGTGGTTCGTATCACGATCATTTACACACTCTTTTTTTTACATTATTTTTTTTTTCGATTCCAAATCATTGCTTTCTTTATTTTTAATTTTTTTGTCAATTTGTTATTTTATTACCATTCTCCCTTTTTTTAAAAAATGTTTCTTTTGTGAAAAACGCCACTTCATATTTTCTTATTATTAGGTCGGTAAGATCGAAAAATATTACGCATATTTCATTACTCAGTAATTTGTATCTAAATGTAATTTCCAAAACACACGTCCTCCGGGCCCTCCGGGTACTTTAGTTTATATAACTAAGCATGTTCAATGTTTGCCTCAATTATGTTTAGGAGAAAATAGAAAAAGTAAGATTACTTAAATACATAACTTTCAACGACAAAAGCTTAGAAAATAAATAATTATCTGTGGGTCACACAAATAGTTTACTTCTAATTGACTGGCTGGTTGTTATGAAAGAAAAAAAAACCGAACACGTACTCCGAGGGTTCCATACCTACCCATTATACCGGCATAATAAAATTGTTAAATAATCACCACTGATTTTCTCAGGAACGGGTGGACTTGGCAAGTTGAAATTTATACTAGATATTTTCGACCCAAAATCTATAGGATACTTCCAATTGACCTAGAATTCTCAATTTTGTTTAAAAGCAAGATCTTACAACACAATTAAAGGGTAAATTCCGAAAAATAAAAAGAGTTTAAAATTAAGGTAAATTTTCGTACATACATTTTTTAGTGAAAATCTAAATTTGCCTCTATCTTTTTATTATATTGACTAGGACCTTGATTTTTATACATCTAATAAGTACTATAATCATGACCTCATTATCTGGTACAAATTTCAACTTGCTAGGCCCACCTATTCCTGATAAAATTGGTGATGACACACGGTCGGTTTCCTTTCTTTTCCTTTTAAGGTACGGAACCCGAAAAAAAAATAAGTGAAGAAAGTAAGAGCATTATTATTAGAAATCTGTATACTAATTTAAATATACTTTTATAAGTATTAGGGCAATACTTACTGATGCTTTATTTATATATTATTTATTTATTGGAAACCGTTACTCTCAAATAATAATACCCTTTTTTACGAAAGAAAACAATACTTACGATTTCTTTTAAAATAACGAAGAGGGCACTTTTGTTGCAGCAACAGTAATTTTCGTGTTTTCTAGAGTACTAAAGGGAGTTGACAAACGACGCCACACAAACAGCGAAATTGCTAGAAAACTGGGCAGAGGTCCAAATATGTACTAGTGTTTTTTTTTTCATCATTTCCGACAAAAAAATGAAAAAAAAAATATGTTCCCAGTCACCCGCCTTTTGTTTACTTCCGATGTTGCTCTTTTTGAAACTTCGGATTAACACGTTAATGGACAGGGTATTTGGCTTTTGTCTTCGCATTTGAAATAACTGTTTGCTCGTAGGCGAAACTACGGCGTGCTACGCGTGAAGTGATAGCGGCTAGTTTGAATTGATATAATATGTTTGAACTTAATAGGCGAGACAGGATATTATATATATCGCAATCGACATGATACCATATCGTCGTCATTGTACAGTAAAAAGATATGATACTGGGATATCCAATTTGATAGTATTAATTTTCTCTGTCGATCTATTGAGATGAAATCGATAGAATTATATTTTAAAATTTCAGAGTTGTTCCAAGCGATACATCAACTTCAGCGAAAACGAAGACACATTGAAAAGGGCTTCGTTGCTCTTATAAATTAAATTAGGTTACGCGAAAAACCACCTGTCACGGCCGTCAGCAGAATTAACGTGCTCCATATTTAAATTAGGTAGCCTGCCTCTTTTGACAGACAAAGAGAGCTTCGTGGAACTCGTTCAAACGGTACCGACGGCTGTCTTTACATTTTCACATATACAATTTTTATATTATACATTTGTTTATCATTCGTTCACTTTTGGTTTATAATGGAAATAGTTTTGAAACATTATGGTGGTTCATGAACGCTATTCATATAGCGCTATCCTTCAAGAGCAGAGACTTCCGTTTTCTTTATAAAGCCGTCCACATTTTCAGATAGCTGGCAGATTTCGCCTTCATAAGGGGGGTTGTAAGCGAGTTTCAGAGAAGCTTTAATTTAAAAATTTACGTAATTGCTGGGCTAGAATATAATTATTACATTATTATTCAAAATAATTTTAATTATATTCCAAAGCCATGGTTTGTACAGATTTTTGTCATACGTTCACAAGTAATCCGCATTATTTCAAAATAGAGATTTTCAATGTAACAACGAGTGTAAACGGACCAGAAGAAAACTTAAAACTTTTAGAAATATAGCACGCACAATTCGTGTTAAACCGACCAACTCGCTGTGAGCCGAACGGCATACTAATCCCTCTCTTTACAGGAGACCTTTACAGGCATTTTATACCTGGAAATAGGTCTCCTGTAAAGTGCTATGTGCCCATTATCTTAAATAGCCTTTGCTTGGTACGAATACATTAAGATATTTTGATTAGTAGTTTACAGTTCGATCTACATGTCGGTCTCTGGATCGTTATTCGTGGCGGTCTGTGATGGGGAAGCAGTGGACAGGCTATGATGATGATAATAATAAAGATAAAAAAAGATTACCGTAAACCAAGAAATCGAAGTGTTCCCCGATACTTTTCACCTATTTCAAAGGGTAAGGAATACAAACAATTGAATCGCATATCTTGACTTGGATTTGTGGTAGTCACAACAAGGAGAACACAAAATGGCAGTCGGAAAATGAAGCCTGTATTAGTTTAAATTGGGGAAAACCGCTTAATAGGATATGGAAATATAACAAAAAGGTCGTCTGGGAAAAGTGAGTTTCTTCAAAGAGGACTATTAAAATACACGAAGAATCGACAGTATACTGGTTACTATTGGTTGAACCCATTATTACACGAGGTGGTGCCCTGTTCTTGTTATCGCACGTATTATACAACTGGCTTACCGCATAAAGCGCTCGGGCTGATTCAGCGTAATTTATACGTATATGCGAAACTGGGTACACCGCAAATCGCACGAAGTACATGTTTCAGAATTAACGTGAATTTAATTGTGTAACCGTCGCGTACCACGGTACAGTGGGAGGCATAAGCCACGAACAACCTGAATATGTTATTATTAAGTATGACTTTATCATATTATGGAAATAATATGTAGGCGAAGCTTTGTTGCTTTATTGAATCGGAGAGAAATGAATATTTCCCTTTGATGCAAAATAATGGAGTCTCGGTGAAGTGAAAAGTTTTACCGCGTCTTAAAAGTTATTTAATATTTAAGATAAATGTCACATATTCCAAAAGAATAAAGTATATGTTTATTGTAGGACGACTTAAAAAATTGCCATAATTTGTCTTAACGAAGCAAGGGATGTCTTGAAACTGGTGATACCCCAATGTAAAATAATAACGTTATGTAACAAGATGAATGTCTTTTACTCTCAAAAGAGAAAATTAACGTTGCAAAATTTACTATGGTAGTACTTATCAGTCTTCTCTGTTGCAGGAATGGGCAGTTCCGTCCTGGTAGCTACTGAAGTGGAAGTGTTATACTTCTAGGTTTCATGTGGTAAGTGATGTGGCTGGAGCCAACTTTGTTGAAAGGTGTGTTGCAAATATCTATGGGTGGCGGTTATCACTTCACGTTGGGTGAGCCGCCAGCTCGTTTGCCACCTTCTCATATAAAAAAATATATTTTAAAATATTAAATTGACAACAGTTGTCAATTTAATATTAGTTACTATCTATTAACGAATCAGATTGAGAAATATCAAGCACATTTAGCGTCGTTTACAGCATTCTAGAAGTCAATTGTTTGTTAAGCTTCTCGTAAACTGATCAGCATCGACAACAAAGTTTTAATCTTTTCAAGTCGAGCGCCAATCAAAGTTTTCATCGCCAATTTGTGTAGGGCACCGAGCAATTAATTTAGAAGACAGATGACTAGCACTTTATATTGAAACACATCGACCCACCAAATATGAACGCGGTAAAGTTTAAATTGAAGTAAATCAGCCGTAATGAATAATAATGAGAATGTCTGTGAAATTGGCATACAAAAACATTTGTACGTGAGTCTCACGCATCACGTACACAATAATAGTGAACAAATTACGTACTGAAGAAAAGGTATCGAAATAAAAATAAATATAAGAAGATATAACAGACCAGACCAATGTATGAAATGATCTCGATAAATATAGGCACATAAAAGAAATAATAAAGATTGTTCGGGAATAACGTTTAAAGGTTTAAAATAAAATGACACGACAACCGATCTGTTCAGAACTTGTCATAATATTAATGAATAAAATCAGTTACATGCAAAAACGTAAGTAATGAGTAATTACGGATTGCTTGCTATCAGTTAAGTATTTTTGGCGTGAAAGCGTAACAAACAAACTGTCATTCACATTTATAATATTACTAGCTGCTGCCCGCGACTACGTCTGCGTAGAACAAGCTGAAGGTGTAACATTAAGACAGAAAGACAGATAGGCTATATTATAGCCTGTCTTATTCTGACGTATATATAGCATATACGTCAGAATAAGACAGGCTATAATTCTAATCTATTATAGTAAAGTTTCATTAAAATCCATTCAGTAGTATTTGCGTGAAAGCGTAACAAACATCCATCCAAACATATAAACTTTCGCCTCTATAATATTAGTAAGGATACAAAAGTAGGAAAGAAAACGTCAAAAGGTACCCGTTCGTGAAAACTAGAGTACACAAATGCCGTAAAACAATTGAATGAATGCAGAAAGCCTTGTTCGAATAGTAAATATTTGAAGCAGGGAATATTTTAAAATGGCCGTGCATTTTTAAACACCCCATGGTCGGACGTTCTTCGGGCTGTCGGATTTAGGTAAATATGGTTAAGCGAAAACTTGCCCTTTTATCATTTCTGCTATTTTGAAGAATGAAAACAAAAACGTTCTGGTAATCAAAGATAATAAAACTATATTTTTAATCTGAAGTCATTCTTAAGATTTATCCTTCTAAGCCACGGGCCTACTTTATTAATAACCATTTATTTACTAAAGAAAAACAAAACCCACCTCAAATAGGTATCTCGCTCTGTATTCATTTCATATAATTGATTTTCAGAAATTCACTAAGTATCTCCGGTACTCAAAATCCAACCAATGAAATTATACGGGACCACGTGGGAAGCACCAGGTATCAAATAAAAAAAGAATCATCAAAATCGGATCCCTCAATCAAAAGTTATGAGGTAACAAATATAAAAAAATACAGTCGAATTGAGAATTTTCCGCCTTTTGAAGTCGGTTAAAAAGTGGCAACAACACTACGCGGGTGTTGAATATGTCCACGGGCACCCGTTATCACATGACATCGGGTGAACCAGGGGCTCGCTTGGCATCTTATTAAATTTAAAAAAATCGGCCATTCCTTAATCGTATTTATGGATGAAATTCTATAATCCCGCTTGCAAACTTGTAAGCTCCATCGTGGTAGTC